TCGCTTGGCTTTTCAATTTTTTGACAGGTTCCAAATCCTCTTTTTGACTTAGCTGGTATCACTTGTGGTCACTGCCTGGTACCATTCTGGACTTTCTTTGGGGCCACACTCATTGGCAAGGCCATAATAAAGATGCATCTTCAGGTAAGAATTGGGGCCTCTTCATCTTTGTGTCTGTGGTTGGACATCCGTTCAGAGAGGTCTGGTTTGAGACAGTCAAGTCAATGTATTTTCATTTGACTTTCACGGTGCCTCCCGACCCTCAGGAGTATAAATGGGTATTGGCGAATATTCAGGGAAGCCTGATGATATTCTGATGATATTCTGATGATATTCGGGGAGGGGGGTGGGGGGTAACCTTGCAATGGACTAGTATCCCATGGGGGGGGGGGGGAATTAGTGATACTCCTAGTCGCTTATGCTATGGAAATCAGGATGACCTCTGACTGGGTTGGCCACTTGGCACGGGTACAGACTTTTCCTTTCTTTCGTTGTGGTTGGTCTGTTCCGTTCTGAATTTAATAGAGAAGTGAATCTTGAGTCATTTCCAGGGGCACGTGATTTGAATTTGTTTTAATTTTTATTATTATTATTATTATTGTTACTATTGTTATTATTATTATTGTTGTTGTTATTATTATTATTATTATTATTATTATTATTATTATTATTATTATTATTATTCTCAAGATGTATTGTAATTTATTTTTCAGAAAACGTTCGTTATCTTAGCATTTAGCAAAAATTATGTAGAGGCTGTTTTATCCTATGTTGGGTAAGTTTTCATCTGTTATTGCTGATTCTACCCCACAACAATGTTTTTTCCCCACATTGGGCAAATTTTAAACAAACCTGTACGGGTGTGATAAGTCTCGGTTCACTTTTAAATCATTTAAAGCGTACAGCTACAAGGTTAGATCAAGAGCAGTCCCTCGTTCTCGGCGAAGTCCATCGCGCGCGTCAAAACAAGTCAATGAAAAAAATAATGTTAACGAGCTCTCCGCGACGCGCTAACATTCTTAAGTTAACAGAGAGCTAACATTGTTAAGCTAACATTCTTAAGTATCATACTTTGAGTTTGGTAATGCAACATGAACGACTTAAAAGGTCGTTGTTGTCGCAATACAAAGCGTTTTAAAGATCACCAGTCGACCGTTTTCGATATTTTTATTAAACAGCTTCTACGTTACTATAAATGATTTGCAAACTTTTGTAAGTCTTCTTGAGACGAAATAAAAAAAAAACTAGACTCTTGAGGTGGAAAAATTGTTTTTAATTTTATTTGAGAGGAAAATGGCAGTGGGAATTCCTCTTAAAAAGCTTCACTTCATGTTCTTTTTCATCTTCTTGGAGTGTTTTTTCTTGTTGAGTTTTTTATTCTTTGTGAATTGGATATGTGACTTTGATGTGCATTTTTTTTATTCGCCTTTGCAGCGACATTCCAACTGTTGGCCCGTATATTCAGAAACCTTTTAAGATAGCACTTGAAAAACAAAAGGAAAAACTACATCGAAAACCTGGTCAAGCAGCTAGTACATCGGTAAGTCACTGAGTTTATACCACCACACGACAGAAAGTTGGTCTGACCACTTCCTGGCCGTCTTCATTTCGCAAACTTAATGTGTGATGGGTCGGGAGAAACGACAGAAGTAGTTCGCACGAGTCCAGGAAAACCTAGAAAGTCCTGGAATTTTATTCTGACATTTTCTTAGACTGGAAAGTCCTAGAAAAAGACTACAGGTCCTAGAAAAAGATTAAAGGTCTTGGAAAAGTCCCGAAAATTTGCTTAACTGAAGCAATTAAGTTTTCAGAATTGAAGTTATAAAAAATGTATGTAGACCGTAAGGAGGATTGGAAATGAAAGGGTTTTAGCTGAAATTTGGAGTCCTGGAAAAATCAATTTGAGTCTTGAAAAATTCCTTGAAATTTGTTTCTGAAGAAGGTTACGAACCCTGCAATCTCCGTTTCTACTTTCCTATCATACATGTCTCCCGCCACCGCTGTTCTGTGCTGCGCGCCTTTCGAAGACGTTCAATATAACAGCTTTAGAAATTAGGAAAAATCAACCGGGTGATACCATCGCGATTTAACAATAATGATAGTAATAATAATAACGATTTATTGACAGTATTTCTGTATGGTAGCTCTACACCCGTCATACTAACTAAAAACCAGCGACTTACATAATACATAATGCACTTGATGTTTTTCAAGAAACAATCACTATTTACATAAAGCACTTAAAAACTGTTAAAAACTACATAGTCCAATCAACAAATAGATTCCAAGTTGCCGTGCGTCTATTCCGTCAAAATGTGGTAAGAACAAAAAAGTGGCACACGAGGCGCAACTTGGAACCTATTTGTTTTATATAATAAAGAATTTTAAAAAGTTTTAATGATGACGTCATCTATGTCTGTCCTCCAATAGATCATAAGTTAGAACCAATCAGAATGCGTGCATAACTGAGCTTATTATATAAAATACTATAGATACCATGAATGACCATAACTAAGAAACCTTATCGAGACAACTTATGAGATTAAACGTATGTTTGCTCTGCTCCTAAGAATTGTACAACAATTATTTTTGAAAGTACTTTAGTCTGGACACCGCGTAACACAAAAATGACGGGACCAACCTTACAATTGCGTGAGGTGATTGATCTGACAAACTCGTCTCCTTTTTCTTCGGCAGGAACCAAATATTCTGGCTTGGATTTTTGAGAAGCTTGTTATCGCCATGATCGTGTATTTTTTGTTGTCAATCATCAATTCCATGGCCCAGGCTTACGCCAAACGCTTGGACGAGCGAAAGAGACAGTCGCAGAAACCAGCCAAGGGAGAGTGACATTAGAACGCATCTACTGTTCAAGAATATATTTGCCACAAGCTTCTTTTCTAACCCCAATACGCAGACACTCCGAATATCTTACCTTGTGACTTGTTGTAGCGTGAAGACGATTGTTATTAAAAAAAGACTTAGAAAGACACGGTTATGTTGTGACTTTCTTTCTACACCCTGCCACGACTGTCGAATTACAACAGCCTTACATCAGCGTCTTAACCCTTTAAACCCAAACAGCAGTATGCTTATTCTCCATACTGTTCTCTATATATTCCTTAAGGTTCTGAAAGGGAGAATTTGTTTACCAATCGAGAACTTCTTTCGTTGATGATCATTTCCTTTATTCTCATGACCTCAATGTTTGATTCAGACTGATATTGTATGGAGAAATTAGCTGCCAGAGGTTAAATGGTTTACAAACAGCGGAACAAAACGTCATCGGCCCTACACCAGACAATTACATGCAAGTCGAACCTGCTGAACTGGTTCCATTGCCAATCCATAACCCTCCATAGGGTAGTAACTATGATGGTGCATCCAGGCTGTAAAGAGGAACCTAACTGTGGCCACGCCTTTAGTTTGGAGTACACGTAGAGGTGCATGTTGGTTATACACTTCGTAAATAAATTTGTTTACCGATCAAAAGCTTCTTTCTTTGGTGATCATTTCCTTTATTCTCATGACCTTAATGTATCATTCAGGGGTGATATTGTAAGGAGAAATTAGATGTAAGTCACTCTTAGGATTTAAAGGGTTAAAGGGACTGAATTGAAAATTGCGTTCAGCTTGCGAGTAGTCTCTCGAGTTTAGGTTTCACCTTGCGGGCCCCCTCTCCGGGCCTAGCCGCCTATTGTATTATTAGCAGCTGCCTATGGAAAAAAGTACTTAAAATCCCTGCTCTGAAAGAAAAACACTGCTGCCAAAAGCCTGTGTCATTTGTACAGAAGGTAGCGAGGAAAGACGTGAAAAAGGAAAGGGAGGGGTGGGTAGCGTTGGACGCATACTTTCCAATCTCCTCTCCGTGTTTCCTCTCTCAGTAATGGGATGCTGTTTACTTAGTGAATACCAGAAATTGGTTATGCAGCCCTGGTAACGCAGGTCCAGCTAATTAGACTCAGGGTGTTCTATATTGTTATATACTATTATGGTTTTACGGTTTTTCTGGTTTCGATATTTTGTCATTAGCTTTAATTTCTCATGAAAATAAAAATAGTTTTTTCGGTTTTAGGTCGTCACTTTTGTTTTTGTTTCGATATTTAGTCACTAGCTTTCATTTCTCATAAAAATAAATATAATTTTTCAGTTTTCGTTTTTCACTTTTGTTGTTTCGATATTTTGTCATGAGCTTTCATTTATCATGAAACTGAAATATAGGTTTTTCGGTTTTCGTTGGTGACTTTTCATTTATTTAGCCTCGTCACTCTGATCTCTTTTCGTTTTACTATTCTTCCGCAATCCCTATTAATCCTTTAACTCCCATGAGTGACCAAGACAGAATTTCTCCCTACAATATCAATACAATATCAAGCAGACAGGTGATGAGAATAAAGAAAAATATCAAATAAGGGGATTATAAGTTGATTAAATACTAAATTCTCCAAACTAACATCACAAGAACTGTATGGCAGACAGTAAGGAGAATTACAAATGAGATCTTGGGAGTTAAAGGGTTAATCTGCCTGCATATTGATATACTCTGTCGCTCTGTTACTATCAAATTATCCTTGTTTACTTTGGTTTGCTTATAGGATTTCATGATGTATTTACACCACCTTCATCATGTTTAGTAGCGATCTGGTTGACTTTATAAACGCTTTCTTTTCAGAAATCTACCAGCAGCGAGTTTTGGTTTCTGAAGTCACGTCCTAACGGCAAGAAACCGAAGTAAAGGAAGCAACATTGTGTTTTCCAGGTTTGTTTAATGACATCGATCACACTTTTTAATTCCCAAAATACTCAACCGAACAACGTCGCTAGAAGCACCTAATGCATTAGAAATTTTCTTACGTTACCATCTCAGAAACAAAACAAGAGATCGGAAGGCTTGCTTGCGTCGCAGGACGATTGTTTGGAAACGCCTTGAGGTATTCGCTGTAGCCTAAAATGTGTGACGTCACCCTACATTTCCCGTCAGGCCTGTCAAGGATGTTGCCTAGGCGTCGTATATATAGGTGCTACTAAAATTGTTGGTAACTGAGCTTTTGGCAACGGTTTCTAGCTGTTGTGGATAACCTCAACTGATAAAATCAAACCACATTTGATTAAATCATGGCTGACGCTTTCAAGCGCCTTCTAGGTGAGAAACTACAGGGCCAAGGAGCGGATGAGGTCTCCACAGAGAGTATCTGTGGTGAAGGGAAGGTTGTTGGCTTGTACTTCTCAGCTCACTGGTGTCCGCCTTGCCGCGGTTTTACGCCCAAGTTAGCCGAGTTCTACAAGAAACATCACTTAGAGAAAAAGTTCGAAATTGTTTTTGTGAGTTCTGATAAGAATGAGTCTGAGTGGAAGTCATATTTCAATGAAATGCCCTGGATTGCTTTGCCTTTCGCTGATCGTGATCGAAAGGTGAGTCAGCTGAATTTAATCAGTTCAGCTTTCGTTTTGTGTGCATAACATGTAACACCTAATCTATCGATTCCTCTAATTTGTAAATTTTGCATTCCAAATGTAGAGAGCTAATTTTTCTTGGAAGGTGTACTATTTCAGAGTAACTCATAGCATGAGTAGTCTCTAATTTGTTATTAGCGCGTCTCCGAGAATGAAAATTCAATAACGCCAACTAATCGCCTGGGGCTTGACTCGTGTTGCGCTCGCATAATGCAATGTGTTCTTCAGAAACGAGTCGCTGAAACTGTTATCACAATTTGAGCGCTCGTAAACAAACAGCACTCTTGCAAAAAAAGTTTCATAGGGCCACTTTCGTGAATTTCCTTACGAATCTTTCTTAAAGCTTGTATGAATTTAAGGAATTTTTCCCATGGCGCATTTTTTCCATATAATCCTGGGAACATCGCAGCTGCTTATTTTTTGCTAAACCATCTTTATTTATATTGGCTAAATATAAGTAATTTGTTGAAGCCATAACAACATTTGTGAATATTATGCTAGACTATACCTATGAACTATATGTAAACCTTCGATTTAAATTCAATTTTTTTCAATTTTTTAGTTTTTTTTATTTCACTAAATCTTGTTATCGTGCAATTGTAATGATCTCTAGACGGCTGATGATGGCTAACCAATCTGTCTCAATTGATTAGTTTTTTTTAACCATACAGTACATGTCAAATAGACGTGTAAGCCCTTGGAATCGTGTTTGCTCACCTATTGTTGAAGACATGTCTCTGATATTTATTCATGGCTCACCAACATCATGGTTAAATACTTAGCGGCAAAAAGATTAAGAAGAAAAAAATGGGAAAGACAGACCCCTAAAAAAAAAACCTTCTTTCGTTGGGTTCATTCTAGGAACTTGACTCTTTGTTTGAAAATATTACTTTGAGATTGACAATCATTTATTAAAGTCATTTCATTTGATTCGATTATCCATCCCCAATAACCTCTGAATTGGTAGAGGTCAAGATTTATTCTGAGGCTATATGTTGCAATTAATTTTCATGGATAGGGAAAGTGTGATTAGTCACAAAAATTTACTTTCACTTTTTACTTGGACAATGATGTTATATTCTGAGTTTCAGTAGTACTTTGAAAGCACTCCTTTGTTTCCTTTCACTCTGTACTGAATAAAGGGTTTTGCAGTCACAGTTGTTTGGGTGGCAAAGTCAATAGTTAAGATAATGTGTGTGGAAGTTCAAAAGAGGGCAGCTGTGCCTCAGTCCCTCAATAATATTTACACTGTAACACAACGATTGTATGTTTACTGGGTTTTCTCCCACCTGCATCTGACAAAAACATCTATCAGTTTTCTGCCTGAGAAGGATACACTTTAGAAGCTATTTTATGTGACCACAACTGTTTTTGAAGGATTGAAATGTTAGACATTATAAGGTAGTGAATTCAATAAGTTTTCTTTTATCTCATGAAAGTAGTGAAATTTTTCAACCCCAAAAGTGTTATTGATTGATCCAGCCACCAATGGTTGCAATCAGCCAGTAGACTTTTACTGTTCCCATGGTTCTTGTTTCACATCAGTTCATAAACAATCAAAGCAATTCACACTGTTGGGTTTGTGTCTGTCAATTTTTTTTTTTTTTTTTTTTTTTTTTTTTTTTCAGCAATCTTTCATAACAAATTTTCTGAGTTGAGTAGCTCTTAGCAACTTTGAGTAACTATAATGCTGGCCTGTGTACATGTATTTACACCTGTAACTAATGAAGAAAACTAACAGATACACATCAGAGCTAAAGGATATGAACGCAGGGCAGAATGTGTTTCAATACAATATTCAATTGAATTCAAAGCTAAATAATTAATCAGTTTACTGTTCCAATATACATGCATTCAGGATCAAAGCCATGTGAAAACAGATAAAGTGAAAGGAAAATAGTAACACTTGAACTCTCTTTGCTTCTCTGGTTCTAAATACTTAGAACTTTTATCAACTCTGTGACTCTTACATGGCATACTATTGTATTACTGCTCTATGCATTAAACAGAACTAGCAACCAAACCCTTTTACTTCCAAGATTTCATTAGGAATTCACATTAACTGTCTTCTATAAAACTTTTATGTTTTTAGTTCAGAAAATTTGGCACTGTATCAACTAGTAATCTACTAATTTACATGTCAATTTTTCTTTATTCTCATCACTTGTCTGATGATAGTGTATTGATATGTAAGGAGAAATTCTGTCTTGGTCACTCATGGAGGTTACAAGGTTAAATGGTTTTCCTCCCTCTTCATCAGGAGAAACTTTCAAAAAAATTTAAAGTTGATGGAATACCAACACTGGTCATACTGGATGGAAAGGATGGAAAAGTTATAGTAGCCAATGGGCGAACAAAGGTTGCAGAAGATCAGCAAGCCAAAGACTTTCCGTGGAGACCTAAAGGACTGGCTGATGTAATGAAAGATGTAAAATTGGTTAACCATGAGAAAGAGGAGAAGTCATTTGCTGATTTAACTGGGAAAGTCCTTGGGTTGTACTTCTCGGCACATTGGGTATGTAATGACTGGTGTATGTACATGTACATTAAGCACATGATAAGGGTTGCCTATGTATCTTGAGCCAAACATGTGCCAAAACCAGCTACATGTATCCATTACTTAACAATGACAAAAAGTAGAGAAGACATCACCAATTTTTATACAGGTAGCTGAAAGCCAATTTTATTGTAAAATCAAACTCCCATCTTGCAGGGAAAAAAATTGTGACTATTTGTATTTCAAAAAAATGTTTTTCTTTCATTTTTTGTGGTTCCTGCCTCCTAAAGGAAGCAAAGCCAAATATGTTTTCAAGATGAGATCTTGACCCAATTTTGACCTAATTTTTTTTTTTTTGGAGTATCTCAGTAGTTTGACATTCTCACTCAATACCTGGTTGAGTTCTCTCCTTTTGTGATTTCTGGCTCATAGCCACTGGCAAAGTATTGTTTCAGTTCTTACCATGAGACTACAGAAGAAAGCTGAAGACAGTAAACATCTCACAATCCTTTTTAGGATTGTGTGCAATTAAAAACAAATGTTTTCCTTGAAAAATTATCTCAATAGGTGTGATTTGCGCATCATGAAACCTAGAGGAAATTCTTTTTTCTTTGAAGAGAGAGCATTTTACTGTTTAAATCAGCAAATTATATAGATCTGAAGACATAATCTTTCATGTCAAAATAATTTCCCATTGGCATCCACTGAGGCATAATTTAAATTGAAACTTTTTCTTGTAGAAATATTTCAATAGACATGATCTGCACATCATGGAAGCTTTGAGGAATTTTTGTTTTCTTGGAAAAGAGAGTATTTTGCTTATGAGTCAACAACTATTATGCAGTGAGAACTGCTAAGCAAGCAAGCTGGGAATAGGATACCTTGGGTTATTCATCAGAATTGTGGAACAGAGTAAAGGTTGATCACCAGAACAACAGAATGTCTTAAGACACAGAATGTCAGAATATCCTAAAGCGCGGAATTCCTTTTCCATGAAACTACAGTCTCAGAAAATTGGAATTGTAATAAGAATATTATTTATAATTAACAAGCAAAATTAATTGTAGTCATTAAAGGCAAAACCCTAAGGGTTAAGGCAAAACTAAGGTTATCATTGTCAGAGCCCAGAGGATTGGGAAACTAGGAGGCTTTCAAGCGAACCCCTTTTGATTAATATTTTATTACCATTGTTATCAACATTATTATTGTTGGTATTAGTACTTGTTACCATTTGATTATTGATTGAATGTCATTTAGACAACATATTGTTGCATTATCTTTCTCTTGTGGAACATGGTACTCATAAATAAATGTACGTGGGATGCAGCAGGTTTTCTGTAGTGCATGTGAGACAAATATTCCGCAAAACTACGTTCAAGTGTCATTATCCAACCTCTGGTTCTTTTCAATACTATAGAGATTGTGCTATGCCAGTAGCCACATACAGATTTTGACTGTCTATTTTTTATCAGTGCCCTCCTTGCCGAGCCTTTACACCACAATTGATTAAGACGTACAAAAAGGTTAAGGAGAAGGGAGACGCCTTTGAAATCATTTTTGTGAGTTCAGATCGCAGTGAGGAAGGGTACAGTGATTATTTTAAAGAGATGCCCTGGCTCTCTACTGGGTTCCAGGAAGGTATCAAAAAAGACCTGACCCAGATGTATGGAGTGCAAGGTAAGAGGTACTTACAAATAATTTAAACTTATCAAGGTTTCTTCTGTAAAATATTGAGAGGTACTCTTGACCATCCAGCTGGAAGAGTCTAGTTTGCATACATGTACTTGTGATTTTGTTGAAGATACAATTCACATACATGTTCCAGTAGTCACAATAGTAGAAATATGACCTACAGCATCTGTTTGAAGCAAGGGATATTGGTGATTGCTGAGTACTTGCCTGTGTAAGCCTGATGGTTCAACAGAGTGAAATCATAGACTCTAACTGGCACTGAAGTAGAATTGTTTGTCTTGTGATGTAGTCACTTCAGATGTGAATTGTGAGGTTTTGACTGCAGACTGAAAGCCTTCTTCAGCTTGCCTGAAGATTCAAGGCTTGCAGTTTTAAGTTGAAACATCGCAATCCACTTTGGAAATGATGACATAACGAGACAAACAATTGCACTTCATTTCAGTGTAGTCACAGCAATGAGTAACCAATCACTTTTGCAGAGAATTTAAAATGGTTAAAGGTCACATCCTGAAATCTCAAAATGCGGTAATTAAGAAACAGCAATAACTGCCTTTTAATGAAAGAAGTAAAAATTATGTGGTTTCTGGAGTGATCTTCTCGTAAGGTGCTAACAATGAGAATTTGTTTAACAATCAAGGGCTTGATTGGGTTGGTAATCATTTCCTTGGAATTGGGGTGATATTGTAAGGAGAGGTTAGATGCGAGTCACTCTTAGGGATCAAAGGGTTGTTACAGAGTCCAATCAAAACGCAGTGATGAGCAGTCACTTCAATTCTTTGCAGGCATTCCAACTTTGATTCTTTTTGATGAGAAGCACAAGATCATCTCTTCAAACGGTCGTCATGTAGTTTCAGCTGACCCAGAAGGAGAGGTTAGTTAGCATAAATCAAGAATTCATTTTGTGCTAACCAGATTTTTTGAACCCTATTTCTATCTTAAAATATAAGTTTTTTATACACTTCATATTTGGACATGTATACCCTTGCTGATTTTACATCTATTTGTAATATTTGATTAAGGTAGCTTACTACACATTATGGGGGTCACCATTTATTATCGATTAGATGATTACTAAATGAGGGTTTAATTGTCAACCTTACTTGTTTAAAGAAGCCATCCATGTAAGACTTTAAGCTAATAACATCAATGGAGATAATGAAATTGAAATTCCTGAATTATGGATGCCTACTACCAAAAAGCATAGCAGCTGATCATCATCTAACATCTAACAACATCTAATACTTGAAATAACCATGAGGATCAAAATGCACCAATGACAGCTTGCTATAATACACCAATAGCGGCTCAAATTATTTACCTCATCGCCTGATGAAGACCCAACTCATTAGCCTGAATCTTACATTGTGAGACAAACAATTAAACATTCATTTATCTATAGAAAAACCAGATGAACATTAGCACCTCCTATAGCAAGATGATTACTGGTGCACATCACAGGGGAACACAAAACAAAAACAAAAAATAAAATCATGAAGGACAGTGGTTTTGTTTTGTTTTACCTTCCTCTTTTCAGAAGTAGCTCAGAACAAGGGGCCAAGAGCCTGTGAGAAACTGGGTTAAGAAATGTGTAGAGAACAGTATAGAGAGTGTACAAGCATTATACAAAATATACATACAGTATGTTGTATTGGTGTTGGGATTGTATTATTGTATTGAAGTTAGGAAGTAAAGGGTAGAGTTGATTGTTTTATCATTGTGACTTTGTTTTGCAGCAATTTCCTTGGAAACTGAAGCCTTTAAATGTGATCAATCAACTAACAGTCAGTACTGTGAATGATGAGAAATGTCTGATATATTTCACAGGTTAGTTGTTAAAAAATTATTGATTTGGGTAAAAAGAGTAGCAAAGAATCAGGTCAAAGACAACCTCAATTAGATAACCAACTTTTTTGTATAGTAAATTTTTCAAGTGGCTAGATGTATTTGGTGAGTCTAACTATTTGAGAATTAATTTCATGAGAGTACATGTATGTGGAGGCCAGCTTCTCTTCCAAACAGAAACATAAAAAAATTGCAGTTAGTGCTGGGGTCCTTGTTAATTCATGATGTAGCGATTTCACTTTGTTTTACTGAGGACTGTCTAGAAATGATAAAGTTTCATGATTTACTTGAACAGCCATTGTTTTGTTATTGGACCTTTTGGTTAACCACATTCTTCCTGCTGTTTTTGTTGTACAGTAGTTTGCCAAAGTTTCCTTTTGTGCTCATGCATGCAAATTTAGTTGTTTCAATGCTCCCCCAAGAAAAATTAGTGCTCCAAGCTTTAGCTGAATTGACCAGCAATCAATTTTGAAGGCTTTTGCCACTAGCACAAAAAAGGAGAGAGATGCAGTGACCAAGCTCCAATAATACTAACTTATCTCTCTGTTGCTTTTTTTTTGTTAAGATGGTAAAGAAGCCTCTATTCAGGGTGCTAAAGATATCATTCAACCAGTGGCTGAGCACTACTTCAAAGTGGCAGAGGAAGCAGATGACGACCCTCCTTTGTTCTTCTTTTACACAAAAAGAGATGACACCTCCAACAGTTTGCGTGATTTTATAGGTCTTAATGAGGAGGATGATGGTACATCTGCGGGTATTCTAGTGATACTAGATATTCCATCGCAAATGGTCTACGAGTGTCAAGAAGAGGTGCTGACTAAAGAGGTTGTAGAGGCATTTGTAAATGATTTTGTCAATGACAAACTAAGTGGCGAAAGGCTTCCTTTAAGGTGATGAGATACCAATGATTTCTGGGTATTTGAGTTTCCACATGACTATAAGAAAATTTTGTTTTGTTTTAATGATGTAAATGTAAGAAACGTTTAATCAGTGACACCTAAGCATTTTTTTTTAGCTTAATTACATGAACATGACTTTGGTTTTCAGTGTACACTGTATGTATGCAGCCTTCCTCATGTTTTCACTTTTTTTTTTTCTTTTTAAGGTATTTTTTTTCTTTTTGTTTTTGGTTAGTAGTAGCAATTTAGGACAATTATTTTGGAAGGGACAGACTAAAATTTCATTTGAACATGACTGATGTGCACATGTTCCTAAGCAAATTTGTATTCTTGTCATTTTTTAATCCCCATATACAATGAGCGTTTTACTAGTTACTGTATCAATATTTTGTACTGTAAAAGGGGCTAAGGGGTGTGATCTTGCTTCAAATACAAGGAACTTATTGTTGTCTCCAGAAAGTGCTCAGAGGCTAGCTGAGAAAATTTGCATAAGATCTTGGATTATAAATTAGATGCAAAGCAAACAAAATAATACTTATGTGTTTCAAGTATGAGAGCATTTTAATGATGAAAGGGTGAAGCAAGTAAACAGTTTTTGATGTAGTTATTTTGTTGTAGTTCTGTAAAATGTTAAGACAAACTGTACAGTGGATCATGTAACTTTTAGGCAATAACTTAATTTATTAACTGTGCATGCATCACTATTTGTAAAAGCTGGGTGTTAGCAAGCATAAAAGCTGAATAACAGTGGTTAAATGGTACATTCCCATCAATTTACATGCCATTAATTTTATTTTGAAACGGTGCATGAATTTACTGTAAGTGGCTGTGTATGCCATATAAAATAATTATGCTTTTCATTATCTTCAAGCAAAAACTGTTTTTAGTCATAACGTATTTTATCAGTAATGGTACAGTGCAGATGGTCATAATCTTTTTTTTTTGAAGCAGTGGTGTAACTAAGTGAATTGCAACTGTTTTGAGAAGTTGTGTTAGTTCAAAATATAGCCAGGTAGTTAGCCCTAATCCAGGATTGAAATTTCAACTTGATTTGGATTTGACCAGGTGTAACTCTTTATGATTCCTTATCTTACTCTGGAAGATGCTGAGGACACTCCAAGCAAAAATGGCAAAACAATCTAAGTGCTACAAGACTTAACCCTTTAACTCCCAAGATCTGTTTATTTATTTTCTGCTCTAGCTGCTTTACATTCCCTTTTACATCAGTTACAAGAATTTGGTGTTAGATTGAGATAACTTCTACCAGTTAAGTTTGTGTATTCTCATTACCCATTTGCAAGATAACATTTGGATATTGTAGAGAGGAGTTATTTGTTAATCACTTCTGGGAGTCAAAGGGTAAATAAAAAAAGTCTGGTAGCCTTTGGTAAGAATCCCGACTCTGATTTTAAAGGGTGTTCACGCAAGTCAGACAATTCAACTCATTATGTTGTAGTATTTAAGGTACTTCTATAGTCAGATCACACCAGATGTATATGTATTAAGCTCATTAGAATTGTCATGTTTAGTATTCAACCTACTACTACATTGTACCTTATTATAGTGTGTAGGGAAATATCTGTACAACTCTCTCGGAGGGTTTTTTGTAGTGTGCTAGCCCTCAGGGCATATCCTCTGTGAAAAAAGTGTGTAGTAATAATAATTTAATGCAAGTTTATGTAATTATAAACGCCTTGAAGATTTCCTGGGTCTAGGGCAAAATCCTGGGGGTACTCCCTGGAGCTCTTTGTTGGGGTGTGTCGGTGGGTTCTCTAAATCCTGATCTTATACAAGACTAAATACCGCTGTAACCCCCTAGAGGTTCATACCCAATTTTAACCGTACAAGTCAATCATGCAATCGTACTCTTTGGGGTGGCATACAACCAAGAAATGTACACAGAGGAGTGCCCCCTCCCCTTAGCAGGGAAGACACAAGGTTGTTAGTTTGTTACCCTTACTAAGTAGGTAGAACGAAGTAAGTAATTTTAAATGAACTACATTAAGTTACTTATTTTATCCCATGACAATGCAAGCGTGTGTGGAAATAATCGTAACCTTGTTCAACAATAAAAGTGTGTTGAAGTAACTCCTTTATTGAAATATTTGCCTTATTCTTAACACGAATCTTCCTTTCAGCGCTGTACACACCTACAAAATAAATAGGTTTATTGTTTTTTCAGAGGGCACGGTAACGAATCTTGCAATCTGATTGGTTCTTTACCCGGTCAGTATTTTCCTATCTCTGCCCACGGGCCACGGTAACGCTTTCGTGAGTCGCCGAGTACATCACAACTTTCGTTGTCATTTTTCATAAATATACCTCGTTTTCCGGCTGGGCAGTATTTTTAAGCAAACATGTCGGTCTCTACTTCAAGCCGATAAATAACTTATTAATCCTCCCTTTTCTCTCTATCAAATCACTTTGGTTGACAGAAAAATATTGGTTTCAGAATGAATTTGTATAAACAATAGTGTCATTACGTTGGTTGACAAGCGGCCTAAAAACCGTCTGCAATTAATTTTAATCGTTCACAAAAAGTACCCAGAAAGTTGAAACGTGAGGTATTTGGTTACAGTTAAACTGAACGATGGAACTTTCATTCATTTAATATCTGAATTTTCTCGAGCAATTTGTTCAAAGTAAAAAAAAAGCGAGCGAAGATTTAATTTAAGTTCTACAACAAATATACGCTCCTGGTGAGTCTTTCCAATTCCGTTCAATTTGGACATTTGTACCTTAAATTGCACAACAGAAATTGAAGGAATTGAGAAAAAGCTGCATTAAATTCCCTTGTGTCTCGTTGAAGTGTGCCGTTCGAATTTAGTTTTTGTGAAGGAAAGATCAGAGTTAAACACGCCATTACAGCAAACAAACGAGCAAACTCCCACAACTTCAAAATAAAAAATTGAATTTACTCACAATTACTTTCCTCGCCGTTTACTTAATGAACAGAGGTAAATCTTCGTACATGAATGAATGGTCGATGAGAGTGAATAATACTTTCCGTTAGATCATTAACTGATTTTTAAGAAAACATTGTCGTGACAGTCCTTGCCAAACTAGTTCTGTTGGTTTTCAAATGTTCCTACGCTTTTTTTTTCTTGCGCGCTCTCTAATTGACAGGTGTCAGATTATGACAGATACTTGTAAAAATAATGTTTCAAAGTTTGTTTGGAAGCCTTTTAAATCACCTTTATCGTTACGGAAATGAAAATGTTTCGTTGAGGAATCTCTCTTAAATTTGCATCACCTCTATTTTAACTACCATTTACTCACTCAAAAATTGTTCAGTTTATGGAAGATCTTGCCGTATTTACGGCCATAAGTCATTCGGGTTCTATCGGAAAGAATTTCGTCAAGTTTAAAAACAATAAATATGTTATTTACCGGCTAAGGGTCGGTCCGTATGGTGAAAAACTGTGACCTCGGTCTTGAAAATGCTGCCCTCGGCCTACGGCCTCGGGCAGTATTTTCAAGCCCTCGGTCACAGTTTTTCACCATACGGACCTCCCAGCCGGCAAATAACATATATATCCTAAACTTGACTGGAACATATTAACATGTAGGACAACCGAGACACGACTGACTTCGACTCTGTTGCATAGAGGGAACGAGTGAATTATAAAAAGAGTTAGAATAACCATTCTGAAGAGCTGGTAATCCCAGAGAATAATCATGTATTGACATATTTATAAATTCCTCGCGCTCCATTTCCCCTTGCACTTATCCCTTGGATTCGGAATGAACGAGAGCATTTCACTGAGAACAAAATCAGACGATACAGAAAATGGCAGATGCCCTTACCTCTGAGAAATAGATTTCTCATTTTTAGTTCAAATGAAGAAGGTTCGTACGAGGAAAATGAGGGACTCGCGAGCTACGACGCTCGTACCCTAGCGCTACTATTGAGAGCCTGGTCGCAAGTTGAAACGTCTGGGAGGATTGACCCAACTTTTGTCCCAGTTTCTTTCTCACTTGCATCCTGAACAGGAAAAAGGGACCTGGAAACAAAGTTGGGACAAGAAGGAAAGAAGATCCTCTCTCCACGAGTTTCCTTAACCATTCAACCTCCAGGAGTAACTAGCATCTAATTTCCCCTTACGTGATCCCCGGGGAATCAAACTTTAAGGTCACAAGAATATGGAAAGTGGTCACCAACTTAAGAGGCTCTTGATTGCTAAACAAATTATCCTCGTAAGCACCCTAGGGAATATATAGATAACAGTTTGAAGAATATGGATACTGATGTCGGCCACATTGGGGACAAGAAAGACGTCACCATAGAATCAAAGGAGCAATACGACACCTATTTTTTTTCTAAAGTTAAGACAACTTTGTTTGTCAAAAAAATGCTTTTGTGGCCAAAAAAATCTTGAAACCTAATCGAAGATATTATAAAAATAAGGAAACAATAATAAAATTATGTTCTCCATCGACAGAGATACAGTTAAATAAAAATACAACCCCATATCTCAAAAGATTGTTACACAAACGAGTTTGACTAAAGTGATAGTTTATAAAATGAAACAAATTAATGAAATAATATAAATTTCCAGGTTTCATTTGGATTTGGAGTGCCAATTTTAGTAAATGAAAAAGTCTTCAAGTTACAATGAAGGTAATATTTCAACGAGTACGATGTTCGCTCCTCTAATTTGTTAAACTTAACTAAGTTTAAGATAAGCCTTCAGAGAGGTGTTTCGTATTACAATCGATCAAAACCAACGGAAGAGCGTGTCGATGGTGTTCGGCCCGTCTTTCAAAGTCGGAAAACTCATTTGAATTTCAAATAATTTTTAAAATTAAAATTCATAATCTTTCTGTCAGTTTTGCACGTGGAAAGGGCTTATGAACAAGGAGAAATTTCAGCGTCTTTTTCAGCTTCTTGGGCACCAGAAAGCTCGATATTTCAACGTTATTACCTGAGATATCATCCGTTTTGTCAAAAGCAGCGTGCGGTGGTGATTAGAATCTGCATGCTGGTAGGGGTGGTTCGAATTCGACTTGGAGGATTGTTGGAAGTCATTTTGTCACGACTTTTCGCTTGGTAAATAACTTATTTATTAGCTTATTTTTGATGGACATACAATGTTCGTGTACCTCTTTGTTGCCCTTAAAAATTAAATTACATAGTTGGGTTTCAAAAGGAAGAGCGCGATAGACAGTAGCACAGTTTAAGACTAACTCCTTTCTTTTCGTATTCGCCATTACTAAGATGCCATAGCAACTGTCTAGCTCGTCAAATGCCCATTGTTATTTCAGAACTAAGAACCTCTAGTCAAGCGAGTTTGGCGATCCCCTAAAGTTGTTGACAGAATATTTTCTGGGTCATTTGAAATAAATTTTTATGATGCATTTGTTTACTTAGGGATATTTTCCTTGTCAATACAAAATGTGCTCGCCGTAATCAAGTTTCGGCGATCCTGATGATGATCATTTTCATTTACAAATAAAAAATATCTTAATACCCTAACGATAAATATGATTATATTCACATTTTACTTCTCTTCTCTCTCTCTTTAGGACAGCGTTAAGCATAGACGAGAAAATCTAAAACTCCAGAAGTTCAAGAGAGGAAGAGAAAAGCAGGATTACTTGTTATAAGGTTGGTTGTCAATATTTTTTTCTCTTTTGTTTTATAGCGAGTTGATTATCTGCGCTTATAAGTCTGGTCTGCACTGAATCTTGATTTGACAGAAGTCTGTGATACAAAGTTAACCACCATCAAAAACCTTAAAAAAAACTACAAACGAAGAAATAAGTTTGATTCCTAAAATGTTTGACATCTAAAATATCTCCCTGATTGAGGTGGATTTCAATAGAAATGAACTGCACAATTGGTTAACTAAATCGATACCACTAGCTTTCTGTTTAAAATAAGACAATAGTGTAAAAAAAATCAAGAATGTATCGTACATGCAATTATCATCCATTTGACCGTCCATTTTACCATAGTAACGGTTGGCCTTTTTAGTACTGCTTTAGTTTTAAGATTGGAAAATGTTTATGGGTTTATTTGATAGCAAATTTCCATCATGAGCTGGAACTGAATAACTTATTTACAGAGGTTAGAAAAAATAAACCGATTTGGTAAATATCTTTGCTGTTGAGGCTAGAAGCAAATTCAAAGAGTATAGTCCATCCACTATAATTCAAAGTTCTTGTATACTCGAATCATTTACCTATCTCTTCCAAGTTAATTACTCGATAATATTTTTCGCTTCTAAAATATAATTTTTGTGCGATAATTAATATAATCCTTTAACTCCAAAGATCCGATTATTAATTCTCCCCTCTAGCTGCTTCACATTTCCTTGTGAATTAGTTGAGAGAATTTGGCTTTAGATCAAGAAAACAACCTTTACCTGATAAGTTTGACTATTCTTATTACACATTTGCTGGATAAAGTATGGATGGTATAGGGAGAAATTACTGGTTAATCACTCCGGGAAGTTAAAGGGTTGAGTAAACCCCTGAGGTCCAACTGTGAAATTTCCTTGTTCTTGAACCTAAAGGCAAACTCAATGCACTCCAAAATTTATGTTACTCCTTTTTTCTGTTGAGTACTTTTTCAAAAATGGTACCTTTTAAACCTAGGAGCCTGATTGTCGTATGTCTCACCTGTTGAGGTCTAAACCAACTTCAAAGAGTATGCTTCAAACATGGATATGCCCGGATTGTTTTTTTAAAAAATCATTTCTATAGCTGTCGTAAGTTTGATCTCCTGATTATATTTTTTCTGATTCAGAATTTTTTAGACAATTCAATTAACATTTCGAGCCTGATTGTCAAGTTTCCTAATTATTGAGCCAAAACCAAACTCGATATACTCCCAGGATATTCAACATTTTGTCTAGAATTCTTCTCAAATCGGAATCATAAGGCCTTGTTTATATGGAGAAAAGTTATCGTATAGAAGGTTCACCCTCGTACCCGAGCTACCTTGGGCGAGACAACTTTTCCTACGTTTCCTTACTAAACTTGGGGAACCGTTTACATGACAAACAAAAATTTTTCTCAGCAGGAGGGGTGACACACCTCGCCGGGCCACCCGTTTTTCATGATATACGCACGCAATTTCCCTA